TAGGGACACTTACCCTAAACACCGACATGTCTTACCAGGATTTCTGTAAATCGTGTCACAGTTGCTGGCAACAAAAGTATGGATTTCTAATGTAAACAAGGACAGTGCACTTGTCAGTGAGCGATACAGAAAAGGATTTAATGACTTTGCGGTACTGTAACGTGGTTAGTTGTTGTCGATATATCGATTGTGCAACATTCTCGAGCGCAACATGGAGGATCGCGAGAGAATAGCGCAACAGATTGAGAAAACGAGTGATTCCATTTGCAAAAAATATCGCGCTTTAAAAACTGGCAGAATGGAAGAAGATATCGCGCTGGAGAGACACTTTAAGCCCATTATCCAGCCTCTAAAACGAGTTGCTAAAAACACTACCGACGATGATTTGGTCGAGAAGGAATTGTTCTTTTTGGGAGCAGACGAAGGATATATGAAACCAACACCCAAACGAAAAAGATCAAACGCTTCGTTAGTCAATTCTATACTGGCCTCCACTCCGGTTAAATCAATGCTGAAACGTTCGAAATCTCTGCCGTCTACTTTGAACGAAATGTCTGAAATATTACACGATGAATCGTACGCTCGCTCCGTTGAAGAAATTTTCGAAATCGCCAATAAGCCGCTCATAACATCCATTCGAAACCAATTGCAAACATCCGAGGGACAAGAAAATATACAAACGCACTATGGTCCTTTGAGGCAAAAATATCTGGGAGCGGTCCTAAACGATAAAAAAGTGATTAACATAGACGACGTTTACGGAGTTTATTTTAGCGATGAGGAAACGAAGCTTGGTGACAAACGTAGCCTTGGATAGAAGCGATAATATAATCATAGGAAAAGTTATGCTGGAACAACAGGACTTTATGAATTGATTTTCATGTTTTATCCCAATGAAGCCATCTACACTAACGATAACCTACAGAAATATCAGAGTATTCTATTAGCTACAAACGCGTATAGATGCGATCGCAGCGCGGGGTCAAATAATGGGTAACAAGGGTCACAAATATAAGAATATAATCGCATCCCTGCTGTCAAAAGTTGTAAAAAGTGGTAAAAAAGTTGAAAAAGGTATACCATGCACCATGACAGTGAATGATAGCAAGATTGATTATGATGATATATTCATTGGGACGATCCCAACAAACTTGTGGATCGCCTCCGATTGCTCGAGGCCTCGCGCCAAGTTGGTCACAATGCGCATGACAACGAGATGCTATCGATTATCGAGGAACTTCGCAAAGCTGGTATTATTATAAATTACACGTACGAATCAGTTAGTCAACATGAAATGCCGATCAACAAGTTTGGGACGACGCTCGGAATAGGTGGAACAAGTTCGTACTACCAGTTGAGCGGACGACTCAGAAATTACATGCTCGATAACGCCTTTTGCGTAGTTGCAACTGACTTTGACGCAAAGTCACGCAAGATTCGACGTGTAGCACTGCCGGTAGATGATAGCGATGTCGCCAACGAACGTTTTGTGCAACAGACTATGCAAGTTTTGAAAGATCAACAGGACGAAATCGAGAGGAAGATTATCACGCTTCAAAATAATATCCAAATGCTGATTAATGAGCTTCGAAAGTCAATTAAAGAAACGCATCATTGCGCTAAAAAGACTCGAACATGTCTAAGAAGAAAAGTCACGAGAAGCAGCAGCTGATCGAGGAACTGCACGCTCTCGCGAGAAGAAATTTTCCACGAAGGCGCGTCATAATTTGCGGATACGATGATCTGTGGCAGACGGATGTGGTCGAGATGCGTCCTTACACGCGATTCAACAGAGGTTACCACTACATTCTCACCGTTATCAACGTGTTGAGTAAGCACGCATGGGCCGTACCTCTCAAGGTCAAGAGCGGAAGTGAGGTGACTAAAGCGATCGCAGAGATAATTCGAAACGATGGAAGATGTCTTAAAAATTTACAGACCGATAGGAGAAAAGAATATTATAACGCTAATGTGTAGAATCTCTTAAAGATGATATCAATCACTATTTTACATATTCCGTAATGAAGGTGTCGGTTGTCGAGCGGTTCAACCGTACGTTGAAAAACAACAAGTGGAAGCAGTTTACACAGAATGGAAACTATAGATGGATGTTTGCTATCGTGTCTTATATCAGAATACAACGCGCGAAAGCATCAAACTATTGGTATGCGACCCATGGATGTCATCTCCGTGATCGCCAACAAGCTCTTAATCACGGTGCATAACCGCATAAAGATCGCTGCACCCGCACGAGTCAAAGTGGGTGACTCGGTACGTGTGAGTAAATTCAAGACAATTTTTGAGAAGGGTTACACGCCAAATTGGACCACAGAAGTGTTTAAAATCGTTAGAGTGCAGAAAACTAATCCCGCAACTCTTTTGGAGGATTCTCGCGGAAAATCCATAGCCGGAGGATTCTACGAATACGAACTGCATCGCGTTGCTAATCCCGACGTGTACCTCGTCGAAAAAGTTTTGCGCAAAAGAGGGAATAAGGTATACGTGAAATGGTTGGCATTGGACAATTCGAATAATTCATGGATATGCATGGATAACGTGTTGTAAAATAAATTTATATCACAAATTATTTTTTTTCATTATATGCATAAAACATGTTTATTATAAATATATTGTATGAGTTTATTACAAATATACAAATATACAATACAAAGTTATTATTTACAATGGTATTTTATAATGTTTCCATGGCAGGGTAGAATGATCGGTAGAATCGGACACAATGTATCGCTTATCATCGTATGGACTTAGACTTCGTCTCGGATATCGTATACACCTCATGCAACTTTGATCTTATGCAAGATTGCTGTCGCGTGATTTCGGTTTCGATCAGTAGACAACGCATGTAATTGTTGAATGTTATCGACTTTGCTACAACATTACTTTTGACACCTTTTACCTTTTTTGTATCTTTTTTACCATCGACACGCAAGGCATACATCTTTGCTCTAAGTCCGACGAATTCGGTCATGATTGAACCGTTGTTTTCGTTCTTCATCAGGCCTGGAATCTTTTTATTAGCGAGCAGAATACCGTACACATTATCAATCGCGTAATCGCTAGTATCAAATTTTCTAATGTCACGCCTTAAGATTTCATACACATTGTCGCATTTTATGTGGTAAATGAGACTGCCCGTATCGGCGTACATTACTTCACACATTCCTTGAAAAAAAGGTAACATGTAATTGTGGTGAAATTCATACAAACAGGTTTTGGATATGTCGAGGATACACATACCCACGTAGATTGGTTTGTTGAACTTCACCTCGAGTTTGCGCATTTCTATCGTGACCAGATTCTCCGAAAAGACGCTATGACTGTGAAAATTCGGTTTCGCAATTATTGCCTCCGCATCAAATCTTGTGACGGTTCGCTTTTCTTGCGCTCGGATATGCTCGTCGGGCCAGGTAGGCAAGAAAGCGTGAGACGACCAACGCGTGTTAGCGTTACTTTACCGAGGTTCAGAGAGACGGTCGGTAAGTCGGCGGGACCGGTCAGCGGTAGATCCGGCGCTCTAGGCGGTTCGGTCGGTAACGGTGGAGTGGGCGCGAATGTTCTCGATGGTCGATTGCCGTGTGGCACTTAGGCGCAGCGAGATCGGTAGCTGGTCTATGTCGGCCAGGCGCCCTGGCCCGACAGGAAGGA